TACCCCCCTTAACTGACGGGATGGTAGGAGTATCTTATCAAACAGAAAAAGCAATCACGAGTCTGTTTCAGCCTCGTGGTTGGGCTCTCGGCTTACTAACTACTAACCAAGTGATCTTGCAACGGATTCCAAGAAGACGGGATCGCAGTTTAGAGCGCTTCTGTGGGTACCCGGATATTCAGAACTCTTGGGATCCTAGAAGATGTACTAAGTAGTAATAACAAGAACTTTTCGTTCACACGCTGCTAGCATGATGGCTGCTGTCGCGTGTGCTAGAAGATGTCCTGCTATTAGTCACATTTTCCTAACCTTGTTGGTTTCGGTTCATTGTGATGTTCGCCAGGACCATCCCGACAATGCGATGCCGTATGCCCGCGCGCAGCCGGCACTTTCAGTGTTGTGACCGACGCTGTGGGGACAGGGACTGCGGCAGGATTCTGTGGACGAGAATTCCGCTGGAGTTGAAAGGGATCGTTGCGAGTTGTGTTGATTATGTTAGTTGGCTGCCAGAGAACAGTTTGTTTGCAGAATGCTTGACAGAAAGAACAATTTGTGAAATAGCTAGCAGAAGTGGCAGCATGTCGGTATAAGCAGTGTGCAAGACCTGCACCACGTCATCATGTTTATTGCAGTTGCCGTAGTGCAGGACGTCGCTACAGTAAACCTCCTTTCCCACATTTTCAATTGTCTTTTCCAGCTCATTCTCCATTATTGATGTCATGAACCTATATAGCCCCTATATCATCCCTACAATCCTTACATAACCCCTCGAGAATCTCCATTTGCCTAGGGCCCACGCAGCATGCGCTGGACTGGTGCATTGGCCGTGAACCCACGTGCGAGATCCGGCGCATGCACACTTTGCAAGCAGCTTGGCGGCTGCGAAGCATATATACGGATAATAGGGTATATATTGCGGTTATATAGGGATAATGGAAAAATGGAAACTACTATATTATCGGCCTAGTAAGGTCTGGGGTATCAAAGGGTTAGGAGCAGTGTAGCATCAAGTGGGAAAGAATAAGGAAAATTAAATGGAAACAGGGTCTGTATAGGGGTGTAATAGGGGGATTCTTATAAACCCAATCCTTCAAAATAGGGCCCTACTATAGGTCTGTAATAATTGTAGTAGAACTCGATTCTTGAGAAAGTTACTCATGTCATGTTGCCCTGCTTAGGTCCTCTGTAGGGCGATCATGGGGGATCCCCAGCCAGGAAATTATAGTACATATCTATAGTAGGGCCCAATTTTGAAGGATTGGGTTTATAAGAATCCCCATACTACAACCCTATACAGACCCTGTTTCAATTTCATCTGGGCTGCTGCTACTTGAGGATGCTTTCGCCATCTCGGATCCTTATCCAGGACATGCGCAAGCGCGCAAAGGGTAGGGTAGGGAAGCCATATGTCTAAGACTGGTATGGTATCAAGTAGAGGCTTGCTGTCAGTTGGCATTGCTGGGTTCGTCCCTTCCTGCAAGCTAAGCCATGCCGTACTGATACTACACTCTAGTTTCCCTAAAGAGGGGGACCTAGCTAATTTCCTAAACCCTAAACAAATTTCCATCTACCTCGGCAGGAGGAATGCAAGGCATGGGAGGCCTGATCGCCTTCGAGGCCTGTAGCTTCCTTGGGTGGGTGCGAGGTTGCCAGAGAGCCCAATGCCTGGACCACCCAAATACCTATAAGCATGGCCGTTAACCCCTAAATAATGGGGTTTAGGGCTTAAGGTTAGTAACTCCAAAATGATGGGGTTAAGGGCTTAGGATTTCTTCAGGTCCCAAATACCTATCTGATCTAGGTGGCACTTTGGGATCATCATTCATTCCCCCCTATTGTGGGACGAGTGAACTTATTCATAAGCAGTTTTAGGGGCATTGACATAAGTACCACCCCATCATGGCCCTCAACCTTTTAATGATGTGTATGTAGGCTGTCATTCTAGTCATTTCGGAGGTCCAGGTAGACCTTATAAGTAAGACATGTACTTGACACGATGTTCGGATTTCGACTGTAATTTTCTATGTATTCCAAAGTTTTCCCTTTATACCCTGAATACTTTCAGGACTGCTAATATGAGTTTGGGTATATTGTTCAACTACGAGGTATTGGGATCCCTGAGTGGATGGTCTATAGGGTTACTGTTGGCTTTCAGCGTGACTAGACAACAGGTATATGGTAGTTCCCCCGTTTCACCACACAATACGTTATTTCTTACCATGGTGAGCCCCAAAAATCTCTCCACAATTTTTTGGAACCCTAAAACCTTAACCTCAAACCTGTTTAAAACCCTGTATCACCTTTAAGGCTACCCACAATATTGGAAACTACCATATGGTAACATGCTGGTACCAGAGGAGGAGACATGCAGCCTGTAAAGTCCCCTGCTTGCCTACTGAGTCATTGCAGGACCCTGTTACGGCTACGGATCCCACTTTGATGCAATTTAGAGCGCACAAGGTACCTTTGTTATCATCAGTGCTATTATTATGCTATTCGAATAGCAGTTATTATTGCGTCATTTTCTTCGGTAACTATTGATAAGAAGTCCTCAGTTGCTTGTTCCGGGCTTCTCTTCTTTGGCGCTTCTGAAGTTGTCTGACAGCGAATCGGCGAATTGCACGTGCACTTTCAACGTCAAAGCCCAATCTGTTTGCAAAAGTCACTGACTCGCAGGTTCTGTGTGAGGTATACCCTTAACCCTAAAAACTAAGCCGCCACGCTTCCTGCAAGGAGTCCACGCCAGAGACCTCCCCCGCTGGCAATGAGAATGCAATGCCGATGCAGGCAAGTAGAGTGTCGGGTAGAGGTGCTTCTGTCGGCTCAAAACACAGTATTTTCTGCTAGTTGTCTGGAAGCAGACAACGGAATCTTACACAGCCTTGTTACTAGGTTTTTGAGGTTCGATGGAGAATACATTGATGCAAACTGTGCCTTTTGTTCTCACTTTGCATCATTTTTCGATGGAGCCCAATCAGGATCCGGCATGGTCTCAATCCCTGCCACCTTGTGACCAAGACCTTTTCCCTTTGAAGATCGAGGGATCATTCGCTGTGTCAGCGTAGGTGTTTTGTGCTAGCTCGGTAGGGTGAACACGAGTTATGACCAGGTCATATCTTATGGTCGATTGCCATTATTATGATGATTCTTATTATGAATAACACCGTTTCGTACCATGCTAGCCGATGATGCTAGCGGGAAGGAATCAGCAAATCATGGGCCAACAAGGGAGCTGTTTCATTTCTAGGAGGTACACTTCTGTAGCCTCCCCTGAGCTTTCGGACATTAATTAGGCTGTATGGGTGGGTTCGGATCAATTACGGCTTAAGGTTCAGAGTCTAGGGTTTAGGGGTTGGGATCAAGCAGGGCTTCGGACGTCAATTTATAATCTTTGCACGCCAGAACCGTTGTCACGTTTGAGCAGCGCTTGCAGGACGTTGGCAACGCCAGTGACCCTGGCGCTAAAGTCATGTTTCACGCACAGACTGCAAATGCAGTAGCCGCGTGCAGCTAAGTAGCTCCCATCTAGTAGCCGTAGAAATTCATGAAGCACCAAATTCTGCTCGGGCAGATGTGCGCAGTGTTTAAGCAGCACATAGGACGCTTTCCATTTCCCTTTTAAATCAGAGTTTCTGGTCTATTGCCCTTGGAGAGTATTGGAAAGCATGTTGTGTGCATCAAAAATCAAATCGAATAGGGGCTAATAATCATCCTAGGAGCAATAAACCGAAATATTCTGCGTAGAGGACATCCAGAGGAAAGTCCTAAGGCAGAAAGGATCACAGAAAGGAGGGAAGCGGCAAAGAACAGAGGAAAGGAGGAAGGAACGGAGCGAGGGCGGGAACAAAGCAGGAAGGCTTCAAAATATGTCGTCATCCGTGCTCATGATTCTTCATCCACGTTCATGAATGTTCATTGTTTCATCGTTTCCCATGAATCCTAATGCTTGTACATCATGTTGTTACATTCCTTCATTTTGTTTTGCTGATCCTGACTTCATTTTTTGATTCACGCTTTTGAGTGGTTGATCCGAATTTGCTTGTTTTGATCCCCATCTTCGAAATTAACATCACGCGGCAAACTTCAGCCCAGCTACACCCGAAACCCCTATACAATCACAGAACCTGACGAAACAAGTATAACAACAATCATGAGAATGATCGTAATGGCTATAATAGTAACAATAGTAGTAACAGTAAACTCAGCACTACTAGTAATAGCAAGAAAAGTAGTAGCAGTCGTAGTAAGAGCCATGATAATCGTCTTTCCTAGTAATATTTGTAAACAATACTTGAAACCATAAGCATAATGGTGATACTGGTAATACTAGTAATAATTGTAATAATAGTAAAAATAAGTAGTCATAGTAGTCATAGTATCCCAAGCTGACCGGGTTCTGCTCGAGCAGATATGCGTAGTGTCTGAGCAGGCCACGCTTTGGCCACTTCTTTAGCAAACACGCGGGTGGTTCCCATATTAGGGTCCCTTTTTAGTACCTCTGAATTTTAGGTCCTTTGAAATAGCCCAAAACGGGCCAATACTTTTGAGAACAACTCACCCAGGGCCCTGGGAGGATCTAGAAAGTATATGGAAATCATCCAATGGTAGTCTGGGGTACCAAACTGAGGGTTCTACTGTGCTTTCTAGATCCTGCCAGGGGTCTTTGTATTTGTGCCTCGACCTTGCCCTTTTCGGTGTTGTACATGGCTACTACAGTCCAATGTAACTTCAGAAAACTGACTGGTACAGTTCCCACAAAGCGATTTGGAAATCAGGACCAACCGTGAAAGCACGCGGGCCTGTTCCATGTAGTCCAGTCAAGGTTAGTTTCAATTTCAAAGGGGTCATACCATTGGCACTGACTGTGTACCACTGCTATGAGAAGCTTCCTTCTCATTCCATGCTTGCCATGCAGTTCTTACCCCAGGAAACGGAACCTCGAAGAAAACAAGCACAGAGGGCGAACTGTTCAGACTCGCCTCGTTTGGGGCCGGCAGCAGCCACGGCTGGCAACCTGCAGAGAGCCTGACTTGGGAGCAGAGGTAGAATAGTAAAATTTGAATTAGGGTTTAGGGTTATGTTCAAGAAGTGGGGTATCCCCCGACACCCAGAACTGCTTCGCAGTTTTGTGAAGCTGTACCAGAGGCGGTGTTGAGTTATATTCTGCATGCATATGTCATATGTTGTTCCACCGTGTTTTGACACGGGCTTTTTTGCTTTCCTATACCTGCCCTGACTTGAATGTCCTGACATTTCCAACATGAGGGTAGTCGCTTGGGGCTTTTATGCAAGGCAACCAAAATGGATTGGAAACTGGGTTGAAAAGATAGAGGCTGCGAGGATCTTGAAGGTAGAAGCCTGTAGGACTGCCATTTATGGTTCCTTAAAATTGGTAGAATAAAAAACACCAGACATGTAGGCCCATGATTAAAAACACCCTTCCCGAAAAAAGGATTATAGTAGGGATCTTAATTTAAACGGAGGGGGTCCATTAATCAGGGGTCTACATTAGCTGCAGGCCGTGTTCTAAATATGTGTCGTCCAGCCCCTGATTAGACTCTAAAGCTGAAACCACGTTACGGGAGCCTTTTGACTGCTGACCCGACTGTAGCACTTGCTGTTTGTTTCTGATTTGGGGGTGGGGTCCTAGCCTGTAACATGGGCTATGCGTATAAGAGGCGCCCATCATACGTCTACATGCCCTAAACCCTAAACCCTAAACCTTAAAGCAGCACTCTACCTTCCCAAACAGTTGTTTGGGTTATGGTCAGGGGAATGCCTCAATGACCTCAAGGTGAGCGACTTCCAAGTCAGGCAGCAAAGCTGCATGTTGCGGCAACAGACCCAAGGGGAGCTCAGGGGGGGTAAACGGAAGCAGGGTCAGCTGGCAACATCCCTTAACTTCATGGGTTACGGCTCCCAAAATCTGAGGCTAATGGCTAATTACATTGCATATGAAATTCTATCCTAAATCCTGATCAGTGCTTTTCAGCATGGTCCTGGGCATGGTGAAGCCTGACCCGTAACCTGAAACCTTCCCGACCCAGAGGGTCCACGTAGCAACACAGTATATATTCGGGCCCCCAAGTATAGTCATTGTGGGGGAACCCCTTTGGGCCCTAAGCTTTTACACCGGTGTGAGCTGTAGTCTACACTCCTGGCATCCCCCTTTATGAGCCCTAGTAGTCCCCTATATGATCCTCTATATACGCTCCTTTAAGGGGCTTTGACTCTAGCTCATGTGAAACCTTCCTAAGCTTCCCATGAAACGCCAGCTTCCGTGCTCCAGCGTCTTTTCGTTCCTTGCCGCATCCCTGCAGAAACAGAGAGACTCCTCCCTTCCTGGACCACCCCCCCCCGGTGGGTATGTTGAACCCTGGCCTCATTGACTGCTGGTATGGCTTTTAGGCCATTGTTTTTGCCCATTTTCGAGGCCTGTCTGACTATAGCACCAAATCCTCCTAACCAGAGCCTGTAGTGAAAACTCTTCACAGGCATGCATAGGATGAGGACCCTGAGAGCAGAGACCCACAAGTTTTGGGAGATCCGCATCCACGACTTCTGCGCTGGAGTGCGTCGGGGAATGGCAAGACAGTTGCAGGTGACAAACCTTAGCGCCAGAAGGGCCTTCTCAATGAGGCAAGAGTTGTAAGAACTGCAATGCTCTAGTTGCAGGTGGGCCAACATTCAGCAGCATTATCTTTGCGCCTCAATTCTAATTCTAGGCCTGTTCGTTGATGAGCAAGCCCTGCTGATGATGTCTTTGGCCAAACACGCGACTGCGCGATTTCAGCAAACAGCCATAAAACAGCGCAGTAGCAGTTGCCGGAACATGGTGGTCCTCTAGCCATCAGACCATTGGAGCCGATAATGCTGCTTCTAAGTCGTATTTAGTTCTCCCACGGATGAATGGCATGGTGGGGCCCTGGACAAAACACTTGCCCAGTAGCTCAAGTTAAGATGTTCAAACAGGACTTGCTTTCGACAATGCCACGGATGAGAGCTCGCTTGCCTAGTGATGTTGTCTTATCATGATGCCTTCGAGTTTGGTTTCACACTCGTCGTGGCCCATCTCATTGTTTGTCTCAGCTGCTAGTGCGCTTTGGGGCAGCCTGTCAAGCTTCAGCATTGGAACCAGGAGGGGAACTGCTCTCGGCCTAGCCGCAAGACCACCAGGAGCGGCCAGAAGGGTAGGTCCGGAACCCCAACGAGCAGAGCCGGAACACTGAACCCTGACATCCTAGACCCCTACACCCTGAACCCTTAAACCCTGAATCCCCAAACCTTCTAAATCCCTGAACCCTAATTAAACTCATTGGACCCGATACCCTTGCGGGCCAGGCATGCAGCTGCGGACCCCAGTCCCGAAGCACGTACTTCGAATCGGGCCCCGCGGTTCAGTTCGGCTGGTCACCTTTGATTTCGAGCGTGTTTGTCTGTATAACTATCAATTACTGATATTTTGTCTTTATAGTTACTATTACTATTATGTTTCTAGTGCTGTTTTGATTATGAGGATCGTCTTATCGTTGCTACCTCCCCTTGATCCAAAACCCCCAGGGTTCCTACGCAGGGTGCTTAAGACAAGGGCGAGAGGTGCCGAATAATCCCCTTCTCCATAAGAATAATCCTTTAGAGAGGGGTAAATAAGGGATTATCTAGGGAACTACTATGGGGGTTATTAAGATGGGTACCAGGAGCTTAGAAAATAGTTCATATAACGGCGCCAAATTCACAACCAGGGGGGGTTGTTATTGGGGATGGGGGACTATTAAGAGGAACAGATTCCTAGAACAAACATAATGTCCCAGGTCATGGCGTTGTGTTTCGGGTTGAGTGCGTAGTGCGTCCTACTTTGTGTGTTTCGTCTTGCCACGGGAGCCTCTTAAAGGGGAGTTGTTCCTGGCTGCCGGCAGTAATCAAAGTCCGTTGCTCAAAAGGGTTAAGTGAAGGATTTTGATACCTTGGAACCGACTCTGTGACTCCCTATGAGTCCACCTTTTTTTCTTCCTAGCTGCCGGTTGCTCAAGACTGGAAGGTTCTGAAAGAAGGCGCGCTCTTCAACTTTCAAGGAACAAGTTTGTAAATAATAGTAGCAATCATACCTATCATCCTCATCCAAAACCTTATAAGCCCTAAACGAAATAGTAGTGGTGTAGAACCAAACAGTGGGGCCTGGGGCCCCGGAAGAGCTGTATGGGCGACGGCTTCATGACGCATATATACACCCTGTATAAACCCAGCTTCCATGTCACCTTCGATGCTGTTTTCCATTTGATTTCCTAGTTTGGGATATTATTTGGGCTCCTGCAGCAGGGGCTTAGGAGCAGCTATAGGAGGTTGGCTTCAGGGTTCCATGTAGGGCAACTAAGCTCCATTGTGCCGCGTTGCATGCAGAACAGCACCAACGCCAGAAAGCATAGCAGCAGAAGTAGTTACACAAGCATTGTAATAGGGATGATGACAAAGAAAATGGAAACTACTATAGTACATTGGGGGTAATAATAGGGATAATGGAGGTAATAATAGGGATAATGGAAACATGGAAACTACTATAGTGAATTGCAGGGTGGCGGTCTCTGAAGTAACCCAGAGGTTGCAGGATTCTCTGGAAGCACGCCATTTCCTATTCCCTCTACTATTGCTGTCATTATTACTATTACTATTGCAGGACAGCCGGACATTGGCTTCAGCTGTTCCAATCCTTAACCTGGCAGGTTCTCCACTGCAAGATCATCGCCCATAATGGGAGATAACGAGGAGCGAGACAGTTTGCTGAGGTACAGTACAGTGCGCGAGTTAGGTTGAGAAGGCCAGAAGTACCCGCGCTAGAAACTTCATTGCCGCATTGCTCAATAGGCAGGTTAGCATTTGGCAGCAGATAGCAGCAATATGCAGTTCCAAAGCTCGCGCAATTGTCACCGCGATGGTTCTTGTTGTTTGGCTTGGTCCAGCAATGGCATTAAATAGTAGTTTCCATTGTTACTTTCCATTGTCCCAATACAGCCCCAATATTAACCCCTATAATCCCTGTAGTTTCCATTTTACTTTCCATTATCCATATTGATTCCCTTCATGAGCGAAGCAACGTGGCCCAACTGTGCCGCCCACCTGAGAGGACAGCGTTTGTTTTGACTCCGACGGCGGCCTGCTCTTCAATAGGAGTGTTTAGGGTTTGGGGTTCAGGGTTTAGGGTTCAGGGTTTAGGGTCTTGGGTTTCAGGTTTTGGGTTTTGGGTTCAGGGTTGGCCATCGTTTTACAGATTTCAGTCTTGTGACTGGCGGCAAGTTCAGGTGTTCAGGGAGTGGTCGTGCTGGCTTTCAGCCAAACTTACCAGACTTAGGTCCCCCCTCGCAGATGTTTGAGGATTCACGTGTGAGTTCCCTGCTTCCATCTCCTTTGCAACTGAATCGCATCGGGGAAATGCGAGCAATAGGCCCTTGTCTGAGCAATGCTTTTTACGGTTTATAGTCCCCGTTCGGAGAACGAGCATTGCGGCTGACAGGCACCTGAGTCCGCGAGAGAGAGAGAGAGATAGTCCCCCTCAGCACCTTGGAGTCAACGAGCTCCAACTGCTGGAGCTCCAGTGATAAGACTTGTCGCAGGGGCTTCAGGGTTTAAGGTTTGGGTTCAGGTGGACCGCCTACCCTGTAATAGTGGTATAATAGAAACATAAGAGGACCTTAACATGCCCACCTTTATGCCTTACGGTCACTATCACTGGCCAGCTGGCCTCAGGAGGAGGGATGCCTAGCTAAGAGCCTTCCCCGGCATGCAAATTAGCGCCAATGCCCGGATGCCTTTTGGATGACGATCCAATTATGACCCAAAAGGCGGCGGCTGCAATGACGGAGATCGTTCCTATTCCTATTACTGTTATAGTATTATCATTTTTATCATATTACTATTGCTAGTATAGTACTAGTTATTACTATTACTACTCTCATACTTTGGGCTCCAGGGCAGTTTCCTCGCTACCTTGCCGCTCCTAGAGCTCGATCTCCGCCGGAACTACAGCGATCCCAGGGCAAGCGTCCCCCAAAAGCCGTTTCCGAAACCCGAACCAGAAAGCTTCAACAGCCTATAGGCTGTTCGAACCCTGCGCCCCTAAAACTTGCCTGAGCCCACGCGACTCAAACCTACGAATTTGCATAAATGATGGGACCCTGTGCGTACCCCTAGCATGCTACAATTTATTCTTCTTGCCATAGGGACTCTTAAAGTCGATCACAGCCTAAGCCTTGCAAACACAAAGCCCAAACCCCTGCTTGGAGGGTCAGCGGGACTTAGTCAGTATACTACTAGCCGCTTAAGCCATATAATTATCGCAATTATCCCTATTATTCACCCACAGGTCCGCCTGACCCTCAACCCTAAATTCCAAATACTAATATTATAGTTGCCGTTTCCATTGTACTGTATATTCCTTGCTAAGTCTCCTAGGCCTCCTTACTTGGCAGTTTCCCAAAACAGGGGGACCCCACTCCCAAAATATTCTAACCCTTATAATCAGGAACCTCCAAACAGTACCCTAAAGCCTAAACCGCCTTGATTACCTGCAGCAGCCGCCAGGAAGCGCGTACCGCTTTTGGAGGCCAAGTATGGCCCAGAAAGTACAATGGCGGTGGCTTTGCACTCAGAAGAGGTCAGGGTAAAAAAGTATATGTGGGCGCTTCCCAAAAATTTGGGATATCTTTTTGGGGTCCCAATAAAAAGGATTGTCGTATTTTGGGGTCTGTATTCACTAGTTCTGGGAAACTGCCAGGTCAGGGTATATGTTTAGGTTTAGGGTTCAGGAGTTAGGGTTTAGGTATATGTCTAGGTTTAGGGTGATTAGGTGTAGGATGTAGAGTCAGTGTATATGTTTAAGCTTTAGTGTGGCTGGTCTATAGGGTTAGGGAATAGGTTTGGGGTTTCCGGTTCACGTACGAGCTTTTCATAAAAGCCACTTGCTTGTAGGAGTTAGTGTTTGATCTGCGCACTGGATGATTGTTTGAAAAACCAGGCCGTACAAAAAAGTAGGACAGAACACCCAAAAGAAAAGACATCCAGGTCCAGTCAGGGGTTGGGATGCTGAGCTATTGAAGAGGAGACTGTGTATCCCTAGGTCCTCAGGTGCCACGTGTTGAGAAGACATCCTTAAGGCGCTCAAGAACCTGTATTCCTTGGAGAAACTGACGTGGTAATTAAATCACGAGCAGGCTTTACTTGAACCGGTCTGTGGATTGGAGGAATCAGCTTTGGGGGTTTCCGAAAATTAGGGGGCCCTGCTTGTCAGTCCATACCAAAGGAGTGTATTGTGGAATGTTGCAGATTTCAGTGACCTGCTACCAATAGAAAAAACCATTTGACCCGCTATAATGCATTGCAGACGTGTCAGCATGATAAACAGCATTGATCTCCTCTAGTCTGACATGGCGGGTTTTCAACATAATGGCCCTCTTCGGGGTCCCTAGTGTACTACAGCCACTAAAAGGGATGAATTCAGGGCACCCAGACAGGGACCATGATTTTGAGAAGCCCCCACATGTTCCCCCTTGCGGCATCTTGTCACCGTGATAGACGGCAGTTTACTTCTTGTAACGAGTCTTCTTGCCGAATTGCATCAGTTGAAACTTCGCAAGGGTGAGTGTGGTATGGTTTGTCGTACGGGCTTTCGTGTGTGCATGTATATGGTACCTCGGACATGTCAGAAATGCCAGCGCGGATGCAATATAGAATACTCCTGACATGTTGGTGGGAGTAGACATACGAGTATATCTGTATACCATATGTAGCATGTGAAAACAGGTCTTACCCTATGTCATCGATCCAGACAAAGGGAAATCGAGAACCCCTAAGCAGCAGGAGGTCCCAACCCTGAACCCTCCATCCCCCTGATAGTGAATAACTGGATCCCCGAAGTATGTAGAAAAATGTCATTTTTTTTTTGCCATTTCAGTGCTTGTGGGACATTCCTTTACTTCGTTAGGTCCAGGCATTCCGAATACAGGGGTCGGAATAATATGTATCAGGGGGTGCGGAAGGGAATGCATGATGCGGATTTTGGGCAGCCCAACCCCAAGACCCAATTTCCAAGTGCATGATGATCATAGAGTACTGGTTACTAGATACTACATATAAGTTTTTTCCTGTGCCGTGCGAGCGCTGAGGGCCTGCCCCTACATCCGTGAAAAAGGCCTAAAGCCTCAAACCCTAAACCCTAAAAGGTAGATCCTAAATCCTATACCTAAACCTTAGATCCTAAATCCTCTAATTACTCTAAACCCTTAGAGCCTATACCCTCTACGCCCAGAGGCCCAAAACTGAAAATTATTTTGCGCCAAGGTGTTGAACCTGGACCAGGACAGTCTGTAGCCCAGAAGTTGCTATGCGCCACCGCAGCTTGTTTTCCTAGGGTTTAGGGGTTTAGGGGTTTGGAGTTTAGGGATTTAGGGTTGCAGAAGGGATCACAGGGATTGCAATTAAGGGCTTTTCTTGGGATTTTGTACATCTTGTTTGGGAATTCTAGAGGGCGCAGACAGGCATGTGGATGTCTTTGAAAGTTTGACCCTTCTTAGAATATGCGAGGACTCCACAGACGAATTGGGTTTTCTCAGAAAAGACCACAGTAGCAATTACTAATGTTATTACGAGGCTTACTATTACGGTTATCATTCCCGTCCTAATATCGGTAACCAAGTTCCCCAAATGTTCTAGCCTGACAGGCAAAAGCCCAGGCTGTCATCACAAAGCCAGCCTGTCGGCTCCAAACATGTTTGTTCAGCACAAGAGACGAAGCTCCGGCCATAGCAGGCTCAGCCCGCTAGTACCACCAGCTGATTTTGATTTTGACTGCTCATATGGCAGTTTCGATAGAAGTCAAGTTATCCCCTCATTTTTGGAAAGTTCCGTGCGCCATCTGTGGCACCCCTCAAATGCTGTGAACCCTTCTGTAGAGGCCTATACACTTGCCAACATCATTTCGAGGTCTGCTTGAGGAATCTTATGCCATAGATAAGGAATTCAGGGCCTCTTGGTAGTTCCCGAATAGACCAAGTACCTGAAAATGTTAGGGCTTTAAATCCCAAATACTATAATCTGAATGGTTTTTTGGCTCCTACAAGCCTAATACTTGGTCCTTGAACCCTTACTTATGGTAGTTTCCCTAAATAGGTAGACCCCAATATAGACCGCCAAATACTATAGTCCTTATTATTGGGACCTCCAAACGGGCATCCCTAACTTTGGGAGATAATTTCCCCCTAAACCCGAGGCCCAAACGTGAACACGCTGACTCTCTACAGAGATGGCCAGCGAGTAGCAGATCCTCAGCTCCTCCCGGAAAGCCTGCAAGGGAAGGCACCTGAGAAACAGATATAGAGTTTAGGATTTAGGGTTTAGGTTGTACGATTTAGGGTTTAGGCTTTAGGGCTTACAAATTTTGAGTTTTGGGTTTAGGGCTTAGCGGAACGCATCTGAGCTGAGTTGTGTTTTATTGAGGGATACAAAAGCCCCCAATAAGTAAGACTAAATCCCCCTTAAGTAGATAGAATATGAGGTATTTGGGGATCTTATGATAATATACCCAAAGCCATATTCTATCTACTTAAGGGGGACCATGTCCTCTTTTTGATATAGTGTTTTAGTTCAGGGCTATTATGCTTCTCAGTAGCAGCTGCTTGGAAGGCTTTCAGCCCTTAGCTCCTAAGATGGGGGGTTCAAAAATCCTGGGCGCTCGTTTTTTTGGTGAATACCTTGAAATCTTCAGTTTGTGGCTTTTTCTTTTGAGGAGCTGCCGGATCTGATTGTAAGAAAAGGAACAGGGATGCAGCTACCCCGACAAATTTCAAGGGCAACATTGCGTTGAGTACGTTTCAGGGCTTGCTGTCAGTCGGGATGGCCTTCTCGATGGGTACTGAAAATATCTGGGGCCCCTGCATTTGAGACCATAAGCCCTAAACCCCCCAATCTCGTCAAACATCTTGAAACTACCATGGCTCTTAGTGGATGCTTTATTCCTGGTATTGTGGAGTGCTGATTAGTGTAGGGCCTCCCCCTTGACAAAATAGGGTCCCTAATTGATATAAGGGGGTGGGGGTCCCCCCCAAACGAATCGGCATCCTCGTTTTAGATTAAAGTCAATAGGAGGGATCGGGATCGGCTCGTCCAGTCAAAGATCAGGATCAGCAGGGTTTCAGAAGGCATTTTGAAGGGTCCCTATTGCAATATTCTCAGAATTATTTTCGGCCGCGCAACTTCGCACAATTAAGGGCCCCCAAACGAATCAGGGGATGCTGAATGTTTTCGGCGAAGCTTCGCACAATTATAGGCCCCCACAATCCCCCACACGAATCGGGGTCCAACATTAAAACCAAGCCTGCAAAATCCTGCTTGAGAAGTAGGCGGTCCTCAATATTGACGCTTTCCAAGTGCAGATTCCAGCCGAATCCTTTCTGAAGTCCTTCCACACGGGTTGCGGTTGTAGTCTCCATGGACCAAGTATGGACTTGCAAAACCATTATCAGAAACTGCGGTCTTGGGATTTCCTAACTCGTGACTAGAGCTCATTCACTGCCACTAGGCAGTTTACGGTTTAGGGGCCGACCTACATCGATAGGTTCTTCCTGGATGCAGAAGGCTCCCAGCATCAGTAATGGTTGAAAAAGGAATACTCAGTATACAGTAAGCATAGGTTCACGTTTTTGTTTTAGCATTTGATGTGAAAGTCAACATTTTACGTGCTGCTACCACCAGAGAGCGCATAAATTGTAATTGCATGTAATTGCACCAACGTGGCTGTCCTGATTCTGGCGCAGCCAGGCCCTTCAGGGCAGTAATCATTGATTCTTGCCTTTGCGAACCACGATGTTTAAGTCACAGCGACCGCGGCTGATCTGCCTTTCGTCCGCATGCTCCGCATCCGTAAGATTTCAGGGCACGAGCTGCCTGCTGTTAGCACTGCGAACATCCGCGACATTTGTGACTTGAAGCGCAAGCTGCGCAAGCTGCATGGCTTCCCGGTCTGTTTGCAACAGCTGCTGCACAAGGGTAGCAGGCTGGATAACTCAACCAAGATAGATGTGCTACAAGATACCAACAGCTTGGGTAATTCTTCGCAACCGGACGCGCTTGATGCTTGTCCTGGCCACGGCGTCCACAGCTGCGCAGTTGAAGGAGACTACTGTGGGGTTTCATGTTGCCTGTTGGCGTGGAGAGCTAGAGGTCGCGCAGTTGCTGCTGCACGCTTCTGCGGACAAGGACTCGCAGGATCAGTCCGGCAGGACAGCTCTCATGCAGGCAGCTCGCAAGGACCGCACGGAGATCGCACAGTTCCTGCTGCAAGCTGGTGCCAACAAGGACTTGCGAGATAAGCATGGCAGGACAGCTCTTATGGAGGCAGCCGTCGATGGAAACACAGAGATTGTACAGTTGCTGCTGCAAGCTGGTGCTGGCAAAGACTTGCAGGATCAGTTCCACAGCACAGCTCTTACGGATGCAGCTAGCAAAGGCCACATGGAGATCGCGCAGTTGCTGCTCCAAGCTGATGCTAAGGCGGACCCATGCGATAAGCGGAACACGGCGACAGCTTTAATAAAAGCAATTGGCAGCGGCCACACGGAGATCGCGCAGTTGCTGCTGCAAGCTGGTGCTAAAGCGACCCTGCAGGATCGGAATGGCAGAACAGCCCTCATGGAGGCAGCTGGCAATGGCCTTACGAATTTTGCGCATGTGCTGCTGCAAGCTGGTGCAAAGACGAACGCGCAGGATCGGAAGGGCAGAACCGCTCTCATGGAGGCAGCCAGCAATGGCCTCACGAAGATTGTGCTGTTGCTGCTGGAAGCAGGTGCTGAAAGGGACTCACGGGACAACCGGGGGACGACAGCTCTCTTTGAGGCAGCTAGCAAAGGCCACACGGAGATTGCACAGATGCTCCTGCAAGCTGGTGCTACAATCAACCCGTGGGATATTTGGAACCTGACAGCTCTCATAAAGGCAGCTAGCAAGGGCCACTCGGAGATCGCACAGTTGCTGCTGCAAGCTGGTGCCGACAAGGAAATCAAAGATCAGTATGGCAGGACAGCTCGCATGTTGGCAGCTAGCCGTGGCCACGCAGAGATTGCCCACTCGCTGCTGCAAGCAGGTGCTGAAAAGGATGTTCAGGATTTGTATGGCATGACGGCTCTCATGGAGGCAGCTAGCAATGGCCACATGGAGACTGCGCAGGTGCTGCTGCAAGCTGGTGCCGACAAGGACTTAGAGGATCGGTATGGCGCGACGGCTCTCAGGATGGCAGTTCGCAAGTGCCACGCAGAGATCTCACATTTGCTGTTGCAAGCTGGTGCTGAAAACGGCCGTCAGTGCGGCAGCACAGCTCATGCGGGCATAACTAAAAGGGCGCCGTTTGGTACTGCATAATGTCATTTTCAACGCGCTTGTCAGATGTGTTGCTGTCAATGCCTCGAGGTTGGAACTTCATGATGCTCAAGTTGCAACTTGAACCAGCTTGGATTATGTGCGGGCGATCTTGGTGCTCTAATTACTTCACAAGCTGCGGGTTTCACGGGTGCTTTGAGGGCAGCAGGCTGCAGAGAACTTGGCCCTTTTATACGTTTTTGTTCAAGGTCCATAGACTGGAGCTCTTTATGGCGCATACTGTGGCCATCGGCAACCCACATCCATCCTGGTTTAGCAATCGTGTTTGGCGAGCTGGGGCAGGCATGCCGCACAGGCGTTCTGAAGCGCGGGCGGCATTCGCTGTCTTGCGCATTTGCCGTCTTGAAAGATGTTTTAACTGACAGCTTAATTGCCGCAGGCTTATGCGTCTCCTTTAAGGCAGCGTCTTCTCCCTCGCTTCTCTCCTCGCCCTGATCCCGGCAGGCGTTGTTCCCGACTCTTACGTACAAGAACATGCAGCAGCCTCAGCGTTCAGCACGGGCTCTTTGAATCCCTGTAGGCCCACCTGGGCGGAGGTTCCTTGTGGCATTCTTATAATCTCACACATCAGGGGATCCCGACGTAGTATTTGGCACTTTTACGGACCTCTGAGTGGACGGGACTTGGAATGCTATTGATTTCCACGGTGCTGGCTGGTCACGCTTGGCTTGAGAGCCTGAGTGCCTAGTTGAGGTGCTACTATAGATGATGCAATGTTCTGGTCATATGCCTACCTCGGTGGGTGTCAGGTTAGGCGATTGCTACTTGGAGATGTGAATGTTTAAAGTTGATAGCTAGCGAAGTGAATTGGTATCGCCCGTGTCTCCAGGAAATCCCTGAACTTGAGAAACTCGAACGGAAGTTGACTAGGGCGCGCGTGTAGAGTAAAGCACAGCAAGCAGTCAATTCACTCCTATGTGGCGGCTTCCCAGAATTAGGGGTACTTTTTTTGTTGGGTCCCTAGGTAGTATAGTATTTCGGGGTCTATGTTTCGGTTCCCCTATTATGGGAAACTGCCATGTCAATTGCAAGGACGCCTGCCAAGCTTGCAGGAGCGGTCAAGCAAAGGCGGCGTTGAGGAATTTAATTTAACGTTACCATAATATGGTTACATAGTAAATGACAGGGTTAGATTGCAATACCCTGAATACCTTGCTTGCTTATAGTCCTCCTTGAGTAGATAGAATATGGAATTCCTCAAAACCATCCTAAGACCCCATACACCCCATATTTTACCATATTGTATCTACTCAAGTGGGATTATATGCACCCTCATTGGGCATGAACGCTTGGATTTGTAGAACGCAGGTCGCGGGCTGAGATCGTACCACGCAAAAGCACACCTTGTGACTAACCAGAGTTACTGGAGGGTCAATAGGGCATGAGGGAATACAGGGGTATAATATAGGATCATATGGGGAACATGGAGAAGAAAATGGAAACCACAATTTAGGGGCTAGGGTATAGGGTTAGCAGGGGATGAGCGAATATAGTATTTGAAAATGATATGTGGAGTATATATTCTACCCAAGCACAAATAGCAGCAACAGCAGCTGCCCTCTACCAAGTGCCATGACCATGCTGCAAGGAACCTTCACGTGAACTTCGGTCCGAGCCCGTATGCACCACTGCCATTTAAGCCTGCGCCCCAGCCGGCATATGACCCAAACTATCACCATGGCATGGTTTGTGCCGCAAAACAGTTTATTTTTGCAGAATCCTTTGTGCTCCGCCGTGGGGGCGGCAAGGGCGAGCAGTTCCGTGGAATCCTGGCATGGCGATGATCTGGATTTGCTGTAATTATTCGACTGTATCCCAAAATTGCAGGCAGAATCAAAATTGTCTCTGTTGCCGACCTTGGTACTCAGCATGGCTTACTTCTGACGGATTGATGGCTTAGTGTAACAATTATTGCATTTTGGTTG